CTAGCTATGTGATCTTTGCAAATTTTTTTCACTTTACTTACTGTTTTGAACAATGGCATTTGGATTAAATAATCTTCAACATTCCTTTTACTTTCATAATTTATACTATAGAAAATATAATGACCCTAGAATGGTTAAATCAATGATGCACTAGTAAATGTTACTGACTGGCTCTCAAAAATAAAAATTTTTTAAAGAGCCTGATTTGGGATATTTGCCTATTTCTATGGTGTAAATACTCCTGATGTGGCTGATTATGAGCTACTAACCTGAGATTACTGACCACGGAGTTGAGAAGAGATGAGAACATTCAGCACTTTCAAGCTATAGGAGCCAGTTCCAGGGAAATACAGGACTTAGAATACTAAATCATTCTACCCGATAGGACTGAAAATATGCTCATATAATTGAGAAAAAATTAACAGAATAAGAATAGGTTTCCAGGTTTGAGAAAATTAAGTCTCTTTTGCAAGGATCATCTTAGATTTTAATGCTAGTGTTCAAGCTTTAACAGTCTTTTAAAAAATGGTAGGGCATGTACTGTTTTTTTAAGTCACATACACATGTAATGAGAGTAAAAGGTGAATCTTTTAGTGTGGCAGGAAGCAGTATTTAGAATCTGATCTAATGCTTTACATGCATTTGTTATAGCTCCAAGATTAGTCTTAGGCTAAGACAGAGCAGTGTCTTAACCCCCACCATGCAGGGGGTTAATAGTTAATATCTAGAAATGTTGGCAATATAGTGCTTTGGAACCACAGTACTTAGACATGTTTATTAGAGCAGAGCAGAACAATATTATTAGAATAGAACAGTATTACTGAAATGCTGCAAACAATGCAAACTAAAAATAGGCCCCCTGAAAGAAATGAGAAAGGATATTAAAGAATAACAACCTAAGAGGAGACATTAGGTCTGAAAGACAGTAGAAGCTATGCATATCACAATCTATCTATAGAATACTGAATATACCAAGATCCAAGTTTAGTTTTTATGTTACAAGCACCTATCATAAGGCATTAACAAGAAAATTACTCAGAAAAGTTATAAATACATGTGACTTTAAAAAATATGGCTAACTTTAAAAATAGCTATTTACCAAGTGTACTGTTTCTAATATTGTATGAGATAAAACTGGATTACAAAACCTAAAGGTTTGTGTGTGAGCAATTACATATCCTGTTAAGTGTCAAGTGTCAGTTAAGGTTTGGAACTCTTCATCATTACTTTTCCACATAAAATTTAAGTTTGTAGCTATGAAGAATATTTGGTCTTGACATTGAACATCCAAACTAAAATTTATCATAAATATTACCATTTTGCTTCCACTCTGATTTAATCAATGTTGAAAAAAGCATTATTTGGTAAATAATAACTGTATATTGGCTCAGAACATATAACAGTGGGATTACTAGTTACAACGGATAGAATGAGTTGCTAGATTATCAACAGTGCCAACAGCAGTGTTGTTGCTAGATTATCAACGGTGCCAACCCTATCTTTCTATTAAAGGCAGCAGTCTTCTTTCTTTGTAGTGGATTTTATTAAATGAGACTAATGAATAAGATTCTTTGGAGATACTATAGAATCCCTTTGACACTGTTTCCCAATGGAGTATTTTTTGATAACTATTTGGAGGAGGAAAGCAAAGGAGTTTAACAAAAACCTGGTACCACTGTGTCCTCTGAAAGTGTTATACAATTCATTGTTTTCCTTTTGAAGTGCGCTAAAGCCTGTTCTCCATCAGGAACTTACCCCAGACTTTCCATTGAACAACTCCATCTGTCCGTAATAGATTTTTCTTCGTTCATCAAGAATAACCAGGCCAACAACAGTCTCCTCTGTAGCTTCCCTAATTTGGTGGGAAGTTATGTCTTGTCATTTCATGGAGCAGAGTTCCTTGAGACTGCCACTTCATAAAGACGTCTTTATAAGAACTCTTACCCAGAAGGTCCAAAGCTATGTCTTCTATTCCTATATACATGTTGAACCCTGAGTTCCTAGGGCTTACATTGATAATGGAAATCCTACGGGCCTAAAAGCTGTGCCTTTCAGGTCCTTTTCATTTCCAATAAAAGAAATTTCTTTCTTTTATGCTTGGTTAAACATTAGTTATTTTTAATATGCTTTTTGAATCTAACATTTCCGTATTTTTAAAAGAGGATACAATTAGCTTAGCTTATTTTGGAAGTTTATTTACTCCAACTTCCAGAATTATTAAATTTCAGAGCTGGATGGAACTTTAGAGACCCTGTCTATACTCCACAAATTGAGATTTCAATTTATTTCTATACCATCAGGTACCAGATAAGTTTGGCAGTTGAAAAAAATTACCACAGGTTATTTTTATTTTTCTCCCTTCAAATCAATTCTAAAATTGATATTCAATTTAGTATTAATTGCACATATACAATGTAGTAGGTTGATGAAGGTAGCAAAAATTATAAATTATATCCCCTGACCTTAAGGAGCTCATATTTTAATAGGGGCCTAAATGTAAATAATTGTAAAATGATGCAATACATCTATTATAAGTATGAATGGAATGCTTTGGTAGATTTGAGGCTCTAATGGAACATGGGGAAGCCAGATAAGACTGGAAAAGGTACATTGTTGTTGCTAGATTATCAAGGATTAGTAAGTATGTTTGTGTATGTGAGTCTGTATATGTGTGTGTGTATGTTTATCTGAGTGCGGTGGTGGTGGTAGTTATGGCACTCCAGGTAGAGCCAGAAACAGTGCTGATAATGATCGTGTTGGAGTCAATAATACAGCAAAAAGGACCTTAAATAAATCCTGGGTTATATACATGTAATCTAACAAATCGTGTTGAGGTCAACTTTGTTGGTATCATCCACCATGAAATAACATGCTCTATGTCTAAACATGGCAGCAGTGACAGTGTGCTTTCTTACTTTACTGTTGAGAATATTAACTATTATAATTTGCATGTTTAAAAAACTTCAGTTTCCTGGAATAAGCCTAAATGTGTCAAGTTCTAAGAAAGATGAAATGCAAAATCATGACAGAGGGTTGTGACTATTATCTTCTTACACAGTTCTCCTGACAAGGTCTTCATCCTCTCCTACTAGCTACCATCTTATTCAACTCAAATCACTGCCCCTCAATCCCTCTCTTCTCTGCTTTCTCAGTAAGGCAAAGTTAAGACTCAGAATGATCATCAATGCTGCATTCTGATTATGAAGTCAAAGTTATCAAAGATTGAAGGAAAATAATTGTAATTGCTAGGACAGGAGGATTTAATGATATTTTTCTAAACAGGGTAGATGATGGCCCAAAAACAGTGTTAGAGAAATCTTGGTAAATATTTGTTTCCATTAATCTCACATTTTTTTCTTTGTAAGCTATGTAAGGATAACAAAATGATAGAACTTTAGATTATATTAGTGTCTTGGACATAGCAGGTATTCAAAACATATTGGTAAATGGCCAAATAAATGGAATAAAACAAAACAGCATGGGCCCTGGGACAACTGGATACTCATATGCAAGAATGAAGCTGGACCCCTTACTCCACATATAAAAATTAATCAAAGACCTTGGAAGGTGTTAATGGGGAATATCTGCTAATCAGGTAGAGAATTGCATATAATCAAAGTATTCTGGATAATAGTGATTGAACAACTTTGTGAATACACTAAAAACTACTGAATTTTACATTTTAAAAGGATGAATTTTATGCTAAGTAAAGTATATCTCAATTTAAAAAGTAGATGAAAAAAAAAAAAAAAAAAAAACTAAACTAAACAATAGCAAACACAACAAAACCATGGCCCAGAAAGTTGAATTGAGGCTCTGCCTAGGTAGTCTCAACACTGAAGTGGAATACAAATTATAGATGAATAACACTTTTTAGTTAAAACAAAATGGAAGATAGTTAAAGGATGTGCTATAGTTCAATAATTAAAAGATGCATATTTTTTCAGATTTCTGAAATGGAATTTTTTTTTTTTTTTTTTTTTGAGACAGAGTCTTACTCTGTTATCCAGGCTGGAGTAAAGTGGCCTGATCTCAGTTCACTGCAACCTCTTCCTGTTGGGTTCAAGTGATTCTCCTGACTCAGCCTCCTGAGTATCTGGGACCACAGACGTGTGCCACTATGTCTGACTAATGTCTGTGTTTTTAGTAGACACGGTTTCTCCATGTTGGCCAGGCTAGTCTCAAACTCCTGACCTCGGCCTCCCAGGGAATGTGTTTTTTAACTGACAATGTGTCACAATTCATTAGGCTGCATGTTTTTCTTTTTGTAGTACCTAAAATTGTGAGATGTCTTAGATTGAATGAAGTATAGTACTTAATTTTTCAAATAATGTGGCAGAGGCAGAGGTTGCGAGCTGTACCTCAATATGTACTCTTTTTTCTTACCATACAGTAATAAGATTTTTTTTTTAGCTGGGGAAATGGTCAACCAGCCAAAGATTATATTTCCAGTTTTTCATAAAGCTAGGTGTGGCCAGGTGCCTAAGTTCTGGCCAATGATATGAAAGCAGAGGTAATGTGTGCAACTTCTGGTTTGTGACCTTAAAGGAAAGGAGCATGCTTCCCTTTTTTTTCATTTCTTTTCTTCTTTCTTTCTTCCCTCCATATTTCATTCCTTCCCTTCTCTTTATCCCCTTCCTACTTCCCTCATTCTCTTCCTTCTAGATAGCAGATGTGATGGTAGAAGCTCAGGAGCCATTTTCATCCATGAGCTGGATGTCATGTATTGAGGTTGGGCAATGAGAGAAGATAATGAGTTCTTAATGATCAGGAAACCAGTATACTAGTCCTGGACTGACTACACAGACTTTCATGTGATAAAGAAACTAAAAAAATTTTTTGAAGCCATTCTTGTTTGCTATAGGAACTGACCAAATAATCACCAAATATTAATGGTTTCTAAATATCATTTTTCTTGGAGTAAATATTACCACTTGTGCAATGGGTCAAACTCTACTTCCTCTAAACACACACACACACACACACGTACACCCCTTTTGTGGGTGAAATAAGTTACCAAATGCAGCATTTATTTATAAGGAATGCATTGTGAATAGTTTCTCAATTTTCATTATCATGGAAAGATGATGATTTCAGCCCACATTCAGCGTATGTTTCTAAATAATACAATCAGTAGAACTGTCTGTTCAGTACCATGGAAGACAGCTTTTTCAGGGCAACTGGGATTTCTTGATAATGCTAAATCTGTCTTGTCAGCTGAATTCCTTAGGTTTTATGTGGTAGTGTGGTAAAAATACATGATCAGATTTCACTGTTAAAATTCTTCAGCAATACATGTACAGTCAAGTTTCTTGCCTGGATAGCTGAACATGTAGGTTATGAGATTTTTAAAAATGTCTCATGACAAACTTTATGGAAATGCAACAATCTGGACATCTAGTTTTATCTGAGAGTGGCATGGATATGAAGAACCGTGCTGTTGATGCTGATGCAAAGTTGACCTTTGGCAGTCACGCTGTTGGTTCTTCATATTTGAGGAGATGGGACGGTGAGGAGGCCTGTTGGCTTGATTTTATTAATACCACCATCTAGAATACAGATTCTTGGATATTTCATTTTCACAAGGTGAGCTGCAAACTGGAAAATAAAAAAAAAGAGGCAAAATTTATAGAGGATATACAGAAGATTTCCCCAACCTCATGTTTTTCTCAGGATTTGAAAGTCAAAATTATTTTAATATTATTATTGCTGTCACCATTGTATAATAAGTTGTTAACTTGGTTATTAATATAAATTAAATCACTTTTTTTTTTTTTTTTTGAGACAGAGTCTTGCTCTGTCGCCAGGCTGGAGTGTAGCAGCACAATCTCTGCTCACTGCAACCTCCGCCTCCCAGGTTCAAATGGTTCTCCTGCCTCAACCTGCTAAGTAGCTGTGATTACAGGGGTGCCACCATGCCCAGCTAATTTTTGTATTTTTAGTAGAGATGGGGTTTCACCGTGTTGGCCAGGATGGTCTTAATCTCCCAACCTCATGATCCACCTACCTCGGCCTCCCAAAGTACTGGGATTATAGGCGTGAGCCACTCTGCCTAGCAAATCACTTTTATATAGTGACAATTTCTTTATCTTATGGAATAATGTCTGTTTAGTTGTCTTTTATGACTTTTTTGAATATGTGATAAATATACATGGTAAACAATTCAAATTCAGTAGAAAAGGGCATACAGTGAGAATTAAAGTCATTCCACTTCTGTTCCCAGTCCTCTCTCTCTAGAAGTCATTAATGTTACTATTTTTAAGTATTCTTCCAGTAATAGTCAAAACAAGTTCAAATTTATATTGAAAAAATTTTGATATTATGGTCCACTTCACCCATAGAGGGCCCACAAACCAGTTGTGATATGTTTTTGGTGCACTCACAACTAACATTTTGAGTCCACAAACCTGGAATGAATTTGGACAGTTCCAGGAAGGCTTCTAGATGTCTGGCACAACAGGACGTTGTAAAAGTTATAAAAACATACACATATCTGACTTAGCTCTAATCTACCTATCTAGGATCATAGATTGCCTTTTCCACATTCTTTTACTTTATGATGAAGCAGCCCTGAACTGCCTGTCAATCCCAAAATAGCATACTTCTTTATGTTCAGACCTTGTCTTGGGCAGATTGTCCAATGTTGGGCACATGCTCCATTTCCCACCACTTTCTGTCCCTTCTTTAGCTTCTCCCCAATAATCACCCCCACACATAACCTCAAAATTTGCCTAACTTCTATTAATTTTCCTACTCAGACCCTTCCTTCTCTAGGAGCTAAGTTGCCATTAGGGTCCCTGCTTCTCAGCTCCCAAAGTTTCTTGTATGAATCTCAATCATTGGCCTTACTTCATTTATTTAAATTCTCCATTTAAAGCTTCCTTCTATTTTGTTTTCTTCCTGGTATCTGGCACCTGGTAGGGGCTCAATATATGTTTGCTGGATCAAACTCAACTATGACAAATGACCATAAAACCTAGGGCAAAATTATGAAGTAAAGAAGTTTTTCTTCGGCTTTCTCTCTACTCCTTCCTTCTCTTTGGTAGTAACCTATTCCCTCTCAATGAGTATTTGTGTTCTCAAGTTCTTTTCAATTACTCTCTCTACAAAAACCTGACCTTAGATCCTTCAATAAAAATGACTAACACTTGCTCACAATGCTATTGCTTCTTAGGGCTCTTTGAAGCTTAATACTCAGTAAGGTCTCAAGGCAGCAATCTAAACTTTAGGGTTCAAAAGAGTGAGCTGAGTGGTTTATCCAGGACAAGTTCAAGGCCTCACTCCCAGAGATTCTGCTTTATTGATCTGGGGATCAGGGATAAGTATTTTTAAATAAGCACCCACAGATGATTCTAAAGCAGGTGGTCCATGGACAATTTTTTGAGTAATACTGTCTTAATCCAAAAAGATAAAGGTATCAGTCAGTAGGTGGAATAAATAATGCTGGACTGGGATGTTAGCAATCTCCAAAACTCACATAAATGGGTCTTAGTACTGCTGACCCTACTTATCTTCTTAGTGATTCTTTGTAGTGGCTCCACAGAGATTCAAATGGCTGTTAACATTTCACATCCTATGCTCTCTTAGAGCTACCAGATGGGAATTCTTGATAGTAACGAATGTTGAAGAGAAACAGTGCTCCTGTATTTCAAAAGGTGTCAAGTGAGCAGGTGTGAGCTGCTCTTCATCCTGTTTTTACTTCTCTTTGAACCCCAGTCCTTAAGAAGGAAGGCACCAGATTCATCTGCCCCGAGTCATGTGCAGGCAGCACAGTCCCTGGTACCATATGATTATTGAAACATCTTGGCTGCATTCTCCCACATGCACAATTCAATTACCATTTAGGTTGGAATTCTAAGATAAACATAACATTACTGAAAAAGCCTTGTGGATAAGCAGTCTTAACTCTCAGTTCTTTCAAAACACTGTGGAAATCAGAAAATGAGTAAGGAAGGACTGTATATTCAACTAATCTCCCTTAAACTATGCTGTAGAGCTGGAAAGAGTTCCTACTGTTATATTAAGGAAGTCCCTAACAACTAGGCTGCTGCTGAGCTGGAAAGTGGAAATAGACAAAGCAAGCAGAACAGAGCACTTTGAAATAATCAGGTTGCTGCTGTGTGTGAGGTCTAAGAAGAAAAGTGGAAATGGAGTACAAGGAGTTAGCAAATATTTAGCTGCCTTGAAAAGAAGCAGGCTGTGTTTAAGAAAAAGAGCAACTGTTGAGTTTTCACATAAGATTTTGAGTTCTGCTCCTCTGGATGCTCTGCTGTGTTTTCAATTATCCATGTTAAATACTGGCCTCTAGCAGTGAAACCATGACTGCATCTTTTCCACTGCTATGGAAACATTTCTTCTTCTCCATCTGTTTAATTATTTGGTTATTCACTTACTAAACATTTCACTGAGCACCTACTAAGTAGGTACCAGGCACAGTTCCAGTTTCTGGAGTGCTTAGAGTTCAGTGGAGGAGATGGTAATAGACAATTCATATGAAGTAGTATGTATGGGTAGCACAAAAGCAGTTCAGGGATCTTAGCAGTTCAGAGAAATAAGCAGAGTTTCTGAATTTAACAGGGGCTGGGGAACTGGTTTCTTTCTTTTTTCCTTTTATTCCTCTTTCATTATTGACTCCTGAAGGGAATCAGAATTCAGATGTGATGGCCACAATTGCTATACTTACCACATAGTATCTTTGTGGCTATAGCTTGACAGGTTAGGGAAGAAAGAAAAGGCTGTGAATCTGCTAGAGTAGATTTCCGCAGTGTGAAAAAAGTATCATACCTGGAGAAGACATACAGTGGAACAGGGGAGAACCAGGCATCCAGGATATATGGTTTCTTCCATCTTTCATTTTTCATCTGGCAGGTTTTGACTGCAAACTCCACAGAGTGCAGACTCCACCCAGATATTACAAATCTAGACTTACTGAGCAACATCCTTAGTGGAGGTGGCAGGATATCATACTGAGCCAGTGGTTATAAAGTCAGAAAAATCATCTGGGTGCTTTTACTCAACAGTAATATACAGGTTTGTCCCAGACTAGTAAGTAGAGTTTCTGTGACAGACCTCTGACATTAGCTGTCTTTAAAAGGGCCCCCTTTTCCCAGGCGATTCTAACGTGTAACTAGCATTGAGAGCCATTTAATTAGATAATGGGATTCATTTGTGTGTCAAGTTTGGGACTCAAACTGCAATTCCTATAGATATAGTGCTGTGTGGAGAGCAAGTCACTTTGCACTAGAAGAGGCTACTGTGTTTGTAGGTCTGAAATTTGTGAGGCCCGAACTTTATGAGACATAGTAGAATTTAATGTGAAACAGATTATTAGAGATAAAAAGGGAGATTTCATAATGATAAAAAATTCAATTTGCCAAAAAGATATGACAATTCTAAATTTGTAAGCATTCAGTAATAAAGTCTCAGAATATAAACATGTGATAGCACTGAATGGCAAAACAGACAAATCCACCATCACAGTAGGAACTATGAGCAGGTTGCTCTCAGTACGTGAAATAATAACCAGAAAAAAACCAGAAAGATGCAGTATTTGAACAATGCAATTAACAAATCTACTTAAGGGACAGATACAGAACACCAATACTCAGTACCTTTAAAATAAAATTCTTTGTTGAAAAATTTTAATTTTATATATGTATATATATTTTATTGCATGTTAGGTTCTGGGGTACATGTTAAGAACATGAAAGATTGTTGCATAGGTACATACATGGCAATGTGGTTTGCTGCCTTCCTCCCCATCACCTATATCTGGCATTTCTCCCCATGTTATCCCTCCCCAACTACCCATCCCCTGCTGTCCCTCCCCTACTTCCCCCCCAACAGACCCCAGTGTGTGATGCTCCCCTCCCTGTGCCTATGTGTTCTCACTGTTCAACACCCACCTATGAGTGAGAACATGCAATATTTGATTTTCTGTTCTTGTGTCAGTTTGCTGGGAATGATGGTTTCCAGGTTCATCCATGCCCCTACAAAGGACATGAACTCATCGTTTTTGATGGTTGCATAGTATTTCATGGTGTATATGTGCCACAATTTCCCTGTCCAGTCTACCATTGATGGGCATTTGGGTTGGTTCCAAGTCTTGGCTATTGTAAACAGTGCTGCAATGAACATTCCCATGCATATGTCCTTATAATAGAATGATTTATAATCCGTTGGATATATACCCAGTAATGGGATTGCTGGGTCAAATGGAATTTCTATTTCTAGGTCCTTGAGGAATCGCCACACTGTCTTCTACAATGGTTGAACTAATTTACACTCCCACCAACAGTGTAAAAGTGTTCCTGTTTCTCCACATCCTCTCCAGCATCTGTTGTCTCTAGATTTTTTAAATGATCGCTATCTCACTGGCGAGAGGTGGTATCTCAATGTAGTTTTGATTTACATTTCTCTAATGACCAGTGATGATGAGCATTTTTTCATGTCTGCTGGCATCATAAATATTTTCATTTGAAAAGTGTCTGTTCATATCCTTCACCCACTTTTGAATGGGCTTGTTTGTTTTTTTCTTATAAATCTGTTTTAGTTCTTTATAGATTCTGGATATGAGCCCTTTGTCAGATGGGTAGATT